TGAATGGGTATAAAAGCAATAATATTAACAAGTCAATTAGGGGGTCCCCAAAATCAATAACTCATGCGAGGTGCATTTTACGTGGCCACTGCTTTCTTCATCGCAAGTAGCACCCGCACAGCTGCTGAATCTGACCAGATCAAGTCTGTACTAACGCAAAACCATGACAAGTTGCCAGCCGGTGGTTCTGACACAAAGACGTTGTCCAGAAGATCTCTTAAAGGGAGTGGAGATCATTTGGAAACCCCAGTGGCTGAAGAAGAGCGCGTCAGGCTTACTGAAGTACTCGAGCTCGAGGAAGCAAACAAAGTTGCTACTGATATAGTTTTGCATTTAAGGAAAGCCGAGATGAAACTTGAGAACGACTTAAGAGAGATGGTTCCGGTCGAAGAACACGTTGGCACTTCCGCCACCTAAAGTAGAGAAAAGATCCAAATTCTCTGGAAGAATCTTGAAGACGCTATTGCAATTCTCGAGCAAATCAAAAGAAATCATGTCAAAGCAAATATGTTTCTCACGGGTCTAGAACGCATGAAAGCTGTTAGATCTAAAGTGATGGGTGACAGCGATGCTTTCAGCCTGCGTCATTCCAAACGCGCTGATCACTATGCCAATAGAGCTGTCAGTCATATGAAGAACATTAATGGGTACAACTTAAAAATGAACGAAGCCGCTGAAAAAGCCATAACCGTTAGGATCGAAGAAATCGTTCTCCGCGCCGTAGTCGAAGAATTCAAGCAACTGGACAACAATCAGAATCCTAAAAAATTTCAAGCCCTTGAAGCTAATCTACAAAAAAAAGTCGAAAAAGCTATCGAAGATACCGAATTTGATGAAGAAAAATATCGCAATTTTGCCGACTGGTATTGGCAATACCTTCACGATGATATTGAAGAAGACGAAATATTATATCGTAAAGTTGCTGCGATATCCAAGAGCTCTGCTAGTGAAGCCTTACGTTTGTACAAATTGTACGAACTTGAGGTCAAACAAGCCAAACAAGTTAAGAGATCTTTTCAAGCCGAATATGACGCTCAGAACAAGAAGGTCAATCACTTAGTTCAAGGGCTCATGGCTGCTCTAGACGGTGAAAGACCTCAGCTCAACTCAAATTTCGGAGCCATCCTACCCGCAAAATCCACTTACGCTACCCAAGATCCCATAGCCGCCCATGCCGCCCCAATTATGCATCTTGATACCGACAGTCATGTGATACCAGCACCTGAAGAGCTGGACTTGACTTCGAGCCTTCTCAACCCCCCAAAGGTAGAGATGAAACTCGAAAGAAAAAGACAATCAGACCATTTGGACGACAATCGTGAAAGTGGTGTGTAAAATCGTCAACGCATTGATGCTGATCCGCAAGGCCTATAAGAAATTTCCCTTCTGATGAATACTATAATCAAATCTTGTCAAAAGGTAAACAAACGCTTTGACAAAGCGGTTGCGCCTCTCCGCTTCAAGATACCTTATGATATGATTCTGAGGCCTTTAGTGTAATAAAATGAAGGCAAGCTTTATGAAGTA